TCGGATCAAATGCTTCTCTTTGGACTATTGCAACTTTATTTGGAAGATGTGAACAAACAATTCTTAACTTTTTAGATCGATTAATTATTGCTATACGATCTTTAAAAGATAAATATATTGTTTGGCCTCGAGAAAATTATCGAAAAGAAGTACATAAGGGATTTGAAAAATTTGAATTTCCAATAGTAATTGAAGCAATTGATGGTTCTCATATACCATTAATGGAAGCACCAAGTAAAATTAATAAAGACATATATATGTCTCGTAAACATCGGTATGGTATTCATTTACAAGCTATTGTTGATCATAAGGGACATTTTACTTGTTATGAAATAGGCTGGCCCGCATCAGTTCATGATGCAAAAGTATTTAAACATTCATATATATATAAAAATAATAATCTTTTTATTGAAAATGAAGATTATTTATTGGCTGATTCCGCATATCCCTTATTACCATGGATCATAACACCTTTTAAGGATCCACTAGGTCCAAATGCACAACAACAAAAATATTATAATACTATTCATAGTAAAACAAGAGTTGTTGTTGAACAAGCATTTGGTAGATTAAAGGCCAGATTTCCCTTTTTGAAATATATGAGATTAAAAGATACAATAAAAGGAACAAATATAATTGATATCGCTTTAATTTTACACAATTTTGTAGAAAAAAATAATGATGAGTAGGAGGAAGATGATGATAGTTATAATGATTAATTTATGAATTAGAAGAAGATGAGGATTTAATAAGCAGAAATAATGCAATAATTAAATAGCAAAACTTATTAGAACTTATTTGTATAGATATATAAAACTTTTTTAATTTTAATATTTTAGATTATTGCATTACTTATTCTTTTTGTTTGTTATCGCTCATCCCATGGTTAAGAGCTGCCTTTTATCCGTCTAGTTCTTAAATGTGTCTAAAAAAAAGTAAGTAATCACATACTAATAGATTTAAAGATAGGGATGAACCGCCAGTTTATTCTAGGACTGGGCCAGTTCTATCTTTTTTGGGATGGACTGAAAAGACTGTTGGCCCTAATAAAATTATAATCTAATTCTGCAATTTTGTGACATTTGATCTAGTTAGCATAAAATATGTGTATCGAACGTACTGTATATAGCCTAATTTTTTGTGATTTTGTTGAGTTTAGATTATGAGTATTATTATAATATACAGTACAAGTGTAAGTAGGGTACTATACAACTTTGAGTTTAGATAAGACTAAAATTTATAATAAATATTTTTATAAAAATTTTCAGAAAATCAAGTTATACGAATTATAATCAGCAC